CAGGCAAGGTCACAGGCACCTACAGTCTACGTCCTGAACGCAGCTGAATGGGACAACTGACAAATTTAGACCCTGGCTCAAAGGAGCGGGCAAGGTCACAGACACCTACAGTCTACGTCCTGAACGCAGCCATGCCTAACAGACTGGAATTTTTTTTCACACTCCACCATTTCATATGCAATCTAGAGGGCTAGAAACACACACATACCCAGAATGAGATCCTGCTGTATACCTCTTTGGTCAATACTGAACTGAATATTAAAACTCATGGCTCCTGAATTGCTAAATTCCAGCTAAAAGCAACTAAACATCATCAGACATTATTTTACCCCTCCTCGGGCATCCACAAACACTGCTCTGGACAATATTTATCTAGCTATTTGACATTTGTGCATGTTTACCATCACTTCTTACTTCACCCTCCACCCCGCCGACTATACTAGGGTGTCAATTGGTTCTACTACAACTGTTACAAACACTTAATAGTTTTATATAATGTCCTTTCATACTCCTGTCTTGCATAAGATATTAAGGTTTACCAGTATCGTATGCCCATATTTGTCCTTAATCCCACACCTATCCTATCATCCCATCAACCCTGAATCCCAATCCATCTCCTCCTGCACTGGATGGGTAAACTATGTACCTGGACTAAACTATCGTTGATGAGTAGCAAGTCTTTAAGTCACTCCTACTAGTCAATTCCCTCATTAGGAAACTGCTTCCTATCTCGAGTGCCCTCAGGTTTTGAGAGCATATCAAAACTGAATCCTCTTAAGTAACGGAGCTTTGATACTATGCTTAATGACTTTTAAAATTTGTCATTTACCAAGTACTTGAGAAGCTTTCCTAAAGAGATGGAGCACGCCCGAGCACAGGCTAGCCTCCCAAGCACTTCCTCAGGCAGCCGAGCTAACGCGTGACGTACAGGATGCCATTTTCAGAGTGGGTGACATTTCATTTAACTCCCAGAATTTCCCTTGGACCATCTGGACACCTTCGCAGCCATGAACAGATCACACAGTTATAGGAGCTCTTCCTTTCTCCTCTTGCAGATCCGTTTCCTGCTGCTTCCCAGCTACCTGGATTGATCTATGGGACAGGATGGTGCTGCTTCCCCTGATTATACTAACAGCTGAAATGAGCACTGCCTGACAAAACACACTTGGTCTATAGCATCCCTGCTTCTCCTTGCACACAAAACACAAGGGATTTACTACCTCTAAATGATAAGGGTGTTCCATCTTTTTTTTTTCTAGCTCAACTAGAGAGTTCCCAAGTCTGCTCCAACTGTATGCTCACTGTTTAAACTACACCTCACAAAAACACAAGTACTTTCATAAGGCTAAAGTAAGTATTAGAGGAAGTATTTTGGTTTCATGGCCTTTAAAAAAATTAATGAAGAACCTTGTTACTGACTCATCCAAATTGAATTCTGTCCTCAGCTAGAATAACACTTGCTATGTGCACATTGGTCTTATTCACAAAGAGCAGTATGGATAGCACAAAATCAAAATCTGCTGAGTAGAATCACAGGCTCACCATAGCCTTTTCTGAAAATTTTCAAGTGTGAAACAAAAAGTCGGTGATTCAACACCATCCTGGGAAAATCCCAGATTATGGATTAGGCAGTGGCATAAAACTGAAGCAACAATACAATATGAGGTCAGTTGGAAATCCAAGTTTGGCTCTTTTAAGATTTACCTTACATAAGGTAATAGCATTTTCCAACTTACTATATGAAACCACTGCTGAAAGCTTCATAGTACAGAAAAAAAAAGTCAAAAATAGCTTGTCTATTTATAAGACTCATGAAAAGCACAAAACACAAATGCACATAAAAAGTTCTAATCTTATAAAAAAAAAATACTTGCTCTCCAAAAAAAAAGGGAGCTAGAGCACTGTCAAAACATGATCAGCACCTAAGCTCAACTGTGTATCAAATAGGAAAGAAGACAGTATAACTGATGGCAAATGCTACCTCTGGAGACTTTGAAATAACTAGTTGTGATCTAATACATGGCAGTGGGAAGCCCACCTTCAGGAAGCCTCCTGTATATCCATTTATTTCATACATATGAGTCCCCAGAAAAATTGTCGCTGCAAAGCTAGTGCATGACATAAAAGCTGAGCTGTATTTCTAATGGTTCATTTGGTTTTCGCTTTTGGACATACCATTTGAAGACACTCATCCACTTAAAACCTCACATCTGGACCTAAGATGTTCCCTAACAATTTGATGATAGACTTGCTCTTACATATTCCCATTACTGTGACTCAAAAAGATCATCAGAGAGACAGCAGGAAAGGCATGATATGAATTTAGAGCCTAAGCCAATGTAAATTACCAGAGCTGCAGATATAAAAGTGTTGCCTTTCACACTGGATCCTCAATAAACTGTTTTGATAGGAAGAATTTTAGTATGCAAAGGAAAAGAGTAAATTTAAATGAAGTTTACATTATTTGAATTTACCTATAAGCATTTCAAAATCATTTCAAAAAAAATTTGCACAATTCTAATTTAAAGTAGATCATATTAAATGAAAAAGTGAAAAAAATGATCATGAGTTTTATAATGGATTTGAATGAGCACAATTACTGAAAAAATCATATTGGTAGACTGATTTGTAGCAATTAAACCTTCTTGGGGTCCTTCGGAGAAGCACTAAAAGCGCCAAAATTGGCAAAACAGAGTTGTTATTAATATAAATTGAGAGTTTATTTTGAAAGGCAATGATAAAACCTGTGATTAGCATCTCAGTATTAAAAAACATAAGCACCCTTTGGAGCTTACATACTCTTTTACCATGCAGTAGTTAAACACTGTTTGGGGGAGGGAAAAGTGTCCACAGGACTTTAAATAAATTCAGTGAAATCTACACATTACGGGTGTCCCACTAATACTGCTAGGCATAAACAGGTAAAATCTCATAGTAAGAAATATCTTGTCTTATGCCAGCACCTCTTGCAAATCTGAGAGCGTACCAGAGAGCGGATTTCTCTTGACATCCAGATCCTTGTTACTTCCTCTTCAAGAGGAATACCTGGCAGCTTATCGACCTGCTTGGGAAGGACGTGGTGTTTATGATGTAGGAACTCACTGCTGGGCACAAGTGTGAGAAATTAATGATGGCTCTGGTAGCGTCCACACTGTGGTGCTCAACCAGTGGGCATCTGTCAATCTCTATCATAATACTTCCCAAACTTCATAAAAATCAGTGATGTGAAAAAGCATTGATTTTTGAGCTAGCCAAGATTTGTCAGAGAAAAAGAATAAAAAGTTTACTGAATTTAACACCTTCGTGTACATAATAGTTGCTTCATACTTGTGTGATTATTTTTCAACCAAACATACAGAAACCGTTATCACAAAAGCCTTACTAAACAAAAATGAATACAATATATTTGTTTCTTGTGGGCTGCTCCATCATGCCCTTCTTTCCTTTATTAATATCACAGTTTGAAAAATTACCTCTTCAAAATGCAATCACTGCACTTGTAGTTACTTACTAATTCACATATTTACAAGGAGGACAACGAAATGCCAACCAAGGGTTTTTTTTATTAGTGACCACAACATCATATAAGTAGGTGCCAAGATTAAATTTTCTCTGAAAACGTAAGGCACAGCGCATTTACTGAAACGGAGACTAAGTGCCAGTCATGTTACGAGAAGTTAATTCAGGCCACCAAAATCCACCTCAATTGCTCCATAAAACCAGAGTTTCATTAGTCTGTTTTTTTATTTGAAATAATGCCTTATCAAAACCCTACCAAAGTTGATAGTAGTTGTCATAATTTTCAATTGTATTATTAAAAATATTACCAATCATAGATTTTTCTGCAAAAATATTTGCTACCTCATATTCACTGTTATTACTGAGTCTACATTCCCTCCTCAGCTTTGAAGAAGATATGCATCCTGCTATGTCTATGGAGAGGAGATATTACTTGAAGCTGCAATTTAAAACACACAGAAAAGGATGCTGCGGTAAACAAAATCAATTGTAAGTTTCTGTACATATTCAGTTTTCCACTGTCTGCCTCAACAACCACTTGCTTGGGTTCCTGGCACGTTTGCTTTGTTCAAACTGAGACACTGTCTGCGGCTGCCAGGAGGCGCCTAAAATAAACCTGAAAAAAATTATCTTCTGAGAGGCACCGGGAGGTCTGGAGCGCACTAACGCACCAGAAATCCCGTTCTGTCACAGGGAGCTGCTTGCACTGGTTGGTATCAGCTACCTGAGCATATCCACCGATGATACAGTGTCAGCAAGATTCCTCCCCCCTTTTCAAAATGGAAAATACTGGAATGCATCACTAGCTTAGTTAATATTTAAAGTTAAGTTCCCAGTTGCCACTGAGGTTTGACACTCTACTGGAAAAATTACACCAAGTATATCTTAGTCATCTACTTTCATTGAAATGACATGGCACAGAACCTACCCTTATTATTTTGAGAAATAACTGAAATGTGGGTGTTGTGTCATAAGTGATTTGCTTTCTAAAAGCCTCCATACTTACCAGTAGACAAATACCAACACAATATTTTTACTGAACTTTGAAAACTCTTAAAAATACAGAAAAAACTTCAGTCTAAATGTTACAAATTAACCCTACTGTTATAGTTACTAGCATATTGAAAACTGCTATTACCACATTATGCTGAATAAAAATCACATACAAGAAACTATTTTCTTCTTTGAAGCTGTCCATGCTTGCCAACATCCATTTTAATGTAATCTTCTATAAACACGAGCTTATGTAAAAGATTATTGCCAGGGAAGTAAATTTTAAGATACAGCAATCTATGTTATGCAACATAAATGTATTAGCGTTTCCTGATATTGGTGGAAAAAATAAAATATTGAGCAATTTTAAATCAAGAAGAGAAAGAAAAGAGGAAAAAAAATCATTTAAAAGAATATTCATGTATTTTAAGTATGATTACACATTCTTAGGCATGTGCATTACGATAATATGGAAAAGAGAGTCCTACCGTTCTCCTCGTCGGACTTGTTGTCATTGTCGGAATCGGTAAGGGTGAGGGCCGAGTTCTCCCGACTGGAGAGGCCGGAGCTGCGCCGGGACTTCATGCCCCTGCCCCAGAGGCGTATGGCGTGCTCGGGGGACATGCCGCCCTCCGTGTCCGAGTCGGCGTCCGAGCCCGTGCTCAGGGAATAGCCCTGCCGCAGGATCCCTATGTCCGAGCAGTAGCCGCTGCGGTGCGGGGAGGGCTCGCAGATGCCGAGCTCGGCAAGGGTGAAGTTCGTACCTGGGAGGACAGTTGGGAAACAAACACGCAAAATTAAATAAAGTCAGTTGAATGCTGTGGAATTGATCTGAAGCTTGAAAGTAACAGATCTTTTAACTTATCTCAGCTATGCTGCACTCCGAACCCTTGTGACTCGGTGGGTACAGTCACCCATGTTTCCTAAAGCACTCAGGAAGGACAGAGCTGCTCTTAATGCCACTTACACATTCTTAACGCACAGTTAAAAACATGACTTAAAAATAATATATGGAAAACATCCACAAGTTTCTGGAGCTGTCTAAGTTCTGAAAAGCAGAGTGCATTCAGCTTCACTGCGCTGGACCAGAAACGAGGAATACAGACAGATAGACATCCCTGGCAGAACAGCTGCCAATTATTCAATGCATTATTAAGCCAAACTCTACTTAAATGCCTATTAATAAATAATTTCAACTAACTGCAATTCCTCTGAAGTGTCCCAGTTGGGCCAAGGCTGAGCCAAGGCAGATTGGGCAGCATTAGGCACGTTTAGGTGCTCCGGGGCTCTGCCGGGCAGGGCTGCCGGGCCGGGCGACGCCGGATCTGGCCGGCTGAAACCAGCTACGGGCGGCCCAAGCTGGCCCCACTCCAAACAGGAACCGGCGCTAACTGCCTTTGATTAATGGAAAAATGCAAGTTTTAGTCACATGCAATTTCAGTGAAATGCAGCTAAGAAGAGCTAGATGCCTTCAAATTTTCTTAATAATATTTGTAAATTAACTTGAGATCCAAAGGTGAAAAATATATATATATATATTTATATAAATAAAATCAAGCCGTGCAAAATGGACTGTAAATGCTGGTATGAACTGAAGTGCATGTGTAAGTTAATATATAAATAAAATGAAGCATGAACTGTGCACAAGTAAATATACAAATAAAAAGGGATATGGACTGAAGTACATTTGTCCACAAGTATCTTTGCAGGTAAATAAATATACAAATAGCCGGTAGTGTGAACTGCTGTCCACTAGCCTGGCAGTTTCTGACCAACACGGGTCAAGTGCATGTTAGTATTTGGGAGATGTTGAAATAATTGCAGGTATCACAACAGCAACATTTTCTCATTTGATGGTAATTTAAAATGTCTAGAAATATACATCAATTAGAAATACATTAATTAAGCTGTCTTACATAGAAAATATTTGCATGGTATTCTCTAGAATATAACAGCCATTAAATGCCCAGATAATGTCATTTTAATCAGCGTTTGGTATTGACATCAAAACCTGACTAGAGCCTCTGATGAAAAAATCTGTTTTCAGAAAAATTCTCGCTTCATTTGTCCGAGACAAATGGCCAAGGCCTCAGAAGTGGAAGGAAAAGGTGCAGCAGCCACAATGCCCTTCATCCACAGGAGCCTTACTGAGAACGTGGCAAAATGCGGCCAGCTCCTGGAAATACGCAGGGGTGTATACACACACAGACACAGCTGTAAGAATGCAGGCATCTTTCATATTTATATACAGCTATGTACACCTCCTCTTTTCTACAGTGCCCCTCATTTTACAAAATCTGTTTCCTTTCTTTAAATCAGATGCAAATAAAAACATTCTCTAGAGCTTTTCTTCATCTGGATCAAGAAACCTACAGGTCTCGTCTTCAAATGAGCCTGTCCATATCTCTTGAATAATACAGGAATCACTAGCACTAATAAAACACTTTCACTTAGCCACAACTGTGTATCAAGGTATTAAGGGCATTAGACGGCCTTCATAAATTCAGGCAGAGGAGAAAAACCGTACTACATGCACAGCTCTTGTTACGCAAGGATTCAAGAGCGGGAAACTCCTGCTCTTACTCTGCAAATAAAGCGCTTCACCCGAGCAGTGAGGACATCTAAGTCATTTCATGTCTGTTCACAGGACACCAACTCAGTCCTCCAGATTTTCCATCTCTACCACCAGAAACCAGCCCCATCCTCCGGGGAGCGCCCAGTCTGCCATTAAGATTTAGCATCTCCTTCGAGTTCCTACTTGCAGCTCAGCAAGGGATTAGGAGATGAAGCAAATCGAGACCTGGCAGAACTAACCGCACGCGAGGAAGGTAACGTTACCTGTCGCTGGGAGTTCGATTTACGCTGCAGCATGTGCATAGAGGGAAATCTGGCCCATGAGCTGAATAAAATGTGCTACCAGTCCTAGCAGCCAAGCAGAAAGCCAGGCCCTTTGGTGTTACATGGCATGTTCTGCCTCTAGGTTTGCGCGGTGCTGGAAAAGCAACTACACAGTAGTGAAACTTCACTTGCAAAGAACCACGGCACTTGCACATTCACAGCTTAAGGGCGTTTCCTTTCAGATTCTTGCAGCATCTAGCACATGACTGGTGACACTAACTGAAAAGACATAAATAACATAATCCCCTTCATAGGGAGGGAAAAAAATGCACAACCTTTCTCTTGAACAACACACCACAAAACAAGACATTCATATGGTTGTTTGTTTTTTTCACAGGCAGCAAAACTGACCCATCTCCCTCTCCCCAGCTCCCTCCATCCATGCCTGCAGAAATCACTAGGGCATTTTACATGGTGTTTAAGCAGCAAGACACCTTCAATGTGAGCTTTTTCATTAAAGAAAAGCTATTAATACCAAATGCTCCTTTCAGGTATAGGTAACCTCTTGTGCAAAAATAGACTGGTAGGATTGTAGTTTATAAGAAATTTAATATAATGTAATATGCTTGATCATTATGCCCATAATATACATGCTGCGAATACTTTCCCAGTAGAGTAGAAAAACAGCTTTATTGTGAATTTAATTTACATATTACTAATATATCTTTTAAGCTTGTTTCCTTTTACAGCAATTTACCACATAACTTATTACATATATAAATACTCACTGAAAGTGTGATTAATTCAGTAACGCGCAATTCTAGTTATTATCTCCACTAAAAATAGCAAGCATTACCATATAAGCAAGGGCCACTTGCACCTAACCTCTAGGCACAGGTTTCATTCAGTCTATAACGAACTAAAGGAATTGCCATTTTAAAGATTAATCTAATCCAGCTGAGATCACCACAAGATGCCTCGGAGGACACAAGCTGAAACTGGTAACGCACAGATGTGGTTAAGTTTGCCTTGAACTCCAAGTCAGCAGCTGGAAACTGGACTAAACCTAAAATCAAAAGGATAAATGCCACTTACAATCTTTCTACTGTAATCCACGCTAAGAAATCAACCTTTTCATATTCATATACATTTCATATTCATATACATTCATTCTGTTTTTTTCCTGAATGATTTCTGATGGCATAAGCACCACAGTTTAGAGAGCACCAGTATCTGATAGGACCGCTACTGGATTCTCCAGACACCCTCCAAAAACTTCAGAGATATAATACTTTTTGTATTTTTGAATTTTATTTTTTTATTTTACTGAAATTACAACCATAAACTAAAATATAAGCCCTTTCTTTTATAAAGGCTATCTTTTTTCTTTTTTCAATATACATTGGTACACTATACATATTACCATACTGTATCTTTCTAGTGACTTAGATATACATAAATCAAAGGTACCTCTGCTGTGCAACATACAGGATTTTTAACTACTTAAACACAATAGTCTCTATGATATATTTAATATTTGCATGAAACATGACTGGAAAATTCTCTCTCAACACCATGTATATCATAGTGAGTGCAATACTCCATTTCTGACCCCCCCAAAAAAAAAAATCAGGAGAAGGGAAAGAAAAAGATAAGCTCCCTTTGATCATGATGCCCCAGGGTGGAGGAAAATCCTCCACGATTCAGGAGGCTGGATAAGAGGAGACACTGGTCTCCTCTTCCACCCCAGAACTGCAGCAAACTGCAGGCAGTTTCAGAGCTAGGTTTTTCTCACATTTGTAACATTCATCAAGCTCATATAATAGAAAATAGATAGTAAAATTAATAACTACACTGTTCTATTATAGTAATAGGATTATTACTAATAAAGTAAGTAGTATTAAAACATTTTTCTGAACTATTTTCCTAATTCTCTATCCCTTTTTTCCTCACAGTATTCTTTTAATCGGTGTGGGTAGTAGCTGCTTTGGGACAGTTCCCAACAATAAAACTGACTCCTAACACCAGAGAATTGTTCCTATGGAAAGAAACCTTAACAACAACCGAAAAGCTATCCCTTGTTCTAGATATTAAAAAACAACAACAACAACAACAACAACAACAACAAAAACTATAGTGGGAGGGTTGCCAGTAGCAGGCTTCCTCCATGTGTATGCACATTGACTGCAAAATCAGAATTTGCAGGTGACTCTTTAAAGGTTATTAAATTCCATCTAGTGCTAGTCAAGAAAGCTAAACGTGTGCAAACAATCCAATATGAATTTTAACTGCTTAAGGGTAAAAAGCGCTAATTTTGCAGAGAATAGTTGTGACAAATAGGTCAGAAAGTGCATTCACAGTCTATAAAAGCAAATGATGCCTGAGAAGATGCGAGGCTACCAGAGAGATCCCGAGCCCGTCTCCGAAGCGCAGTCAGCCAAGCAGCACACGCACGCGCACACCCCCTGCGATGGGAACACTGGCTACAGCTTGGAATATCCATGCACACTGGGAAATTTTGTCAGGATTAATAATACACCAGTCTCCAGGCAACAATTTTTTCAATTCAACAGAACCATAATAGTTTTCTTAAAAGTGAAAATATCATCTGTCAGCCTAAGTACTTTCTGGAGAAAGCTGACTACAACCAGCCACACGCACATCGATTCACAGACAGACAAGATTCCAGCACACTGTTTTGAATTTGAAAAAAAAAAATCTAGTTTTTACTCACTAACGACAACAAAATCCTTTAATTTTCTATTTTATAATCCCCTTGCGGCCTTGCTGCTTTCTAACTCAAAGATCACTGAGCCTAATACCACGATACAGGTATTTCTGAACGTTGACAGGAGCGACCTCTATACTTAAAAAAGAAAACAAGTGCTTAGAAAAGCTCGAGCTCACACTACTATACAATCTTCACTTATTTGGTCAAATACTTCTTGTGCAAAAAAAAAAAAAAAATCTTACAACAAAACTAAAAACCCTTCACATCTTGTTCAGTGACATTTAAGTTACTCATTTGCTTTAACCCTTCTCATTCAGTTTTCAAAAATCAGGCTTTACATACCACACAGGATCAAAAGATCTACAGAGAACACAGTGTTATTAATTACTTCACACAATTTTCCATGGGTTTCCTGGAGGTAGCTGCTGAGAACACCTCCAACACTAGTTAATTTACCTTCACATCCTCATGAGATGAGATGGTTTTATCCCGATTTATAGCATTTAAGGGAAGGAAGTGGCAAACAGAGCAACCTCTTTCCAGCATGCCCACTACTTTGTGCAAAACTTGTAGCACCTAGAATTTTGATTTCTTAGATCCCCTTATGATGATGAACTTTTTTTCTTTTACTCATACACTGTTTTAGGGCAAAGCATACATATATCTTTTTCTCTTCAAATGTCACTATCGACCAGGAATAAAATAGGATTGGGGAGGACAGGGGGAAGGAACTAAGTGGCAACAGGACTAATATTTACTCAGGTCAGCCCAGGCTCAAAAGCAATCCTGCAGGGTAACATCTGACTTGCTTAAGCAATCTTTCATT